CGTCGAGAAACCCTTCTGTTACTGTGTGTAAACTATAGATTTCTTCCAACGAGTACCGAACCCACAGTTGCGCGGAAGGCCATCGTGCTTATAAGATACAAAGAATGATTTATTGGTCTAAACGTGTGGCAGCAGCAGCAGACCATATCGCTTGTCCTGCTTGATAGACTGCCTTCCTCAGAAGTTCATACACACTGTGTTTTGCAAAGCTGTCTCCAACATTTGTTGACATTCAAGTCTTAACATCGACCTTGTCAGATATGTGGCCCAGCATTAACCCTTCTAACCTCCCAACCCATGAGCATTTTTCTCTCCACCATACAGTGAGAGTTTTTCCAGCATCAAATACTACTGATTTGCTGAGTGGCTAGTTAAGCACCCATTGATTTAGGAATTTCCTCAATGATGTGCCCTGTAAACCCAAACCAAATGTTCAGTTAAGGAATGAGCACAAACCCAAACAGAACGTTGAGAGATACACATACCCTAAGCCCTGAGCTTTGTTTGAGGCTCCTGAAAGTTCTGGGATCCTGGTGCCGGATTGATATACCAGTCCTTGGTCCTGTGTGACATTGCTGATCAGGTCCGTGTGTCATTTAAGGAGGTCTTTGGGCATGGGAAGTTTATTCTACATGGTTTTTCATTAGTGTAATCACCTTGATCTGATCCTGTGTTTTTTATTTTGTTACTTTAGAATGAGCTGATTTTATCTACAGATGCCGTGGGTCGCCCTCCACGGAGTCCACCATGTTTCTACAGTACTCCAGAACAGACAAACCAAACACTGGCTCTAGATAAGACCTTTTTTAGTTTCTCTTACACACTTCACAGCCCATTCTCATTCCCGGGTTGTGAAATACAGACGCCAGCTGAGTTCTGTTAGTTGCAAACTGAAACTTTACCACTAGATGTCACTAAATCCTACACACTGGTTCTTTAAATATATCATTCTGAAATAAAACCTTATACTGAGTAAATGTCCAACCCTAAAAAAAGGCTCCCTGAAAGCAGCATTTATCTCCCAAAACCAATTAAATAAAAATCGGAATTTTTGTGTGGCATCTTCGACATTACATCTACTTAAAGCAACACTTTCTCACCTTTAATATTTTTAGAAACATATTTTTGTGTACTGTTTATTTGTAATACAAGGACATGCGTGACCAGGCAGGGCTGCCATTTTTTCCAGCTTTAAAACAGAGTAAAAACCAAGTGCACCGTAACTTGCAGTATGCTACCTACCAGCTCCACGGTCTCGTCAAAATATGGTCACTTCTAGCTCCAAAAAACAAAGATGGCGACAGCCAGAATGCCAAACTTGAGGCTTCAAAACAGTACTCTATCAATGGGTGATGTCACTGTGGGTTTACACTTGTTATAACCCAAACTGGGAGCAACATTCATCAGTAAATAAACATATTACATGGATTTATTCAGACAGTATTTTCAGGTGAAATGTCTAGATCAGTGCAGTCCGACTCAACAGATGCTTCAGAGAAGAAGAGCAACTTTTTTTCACCCTGGATCTTGTTGCTGTTAACAAAATTCTTATCTTGTATATTCTCCAACTGCATTCCAGTCTGATCAGAAGGTTAATGAACATTAATAAATATAAGACGACAATAACAAAGAGCTTATTAAATCTAGTTTCACTTAATAACTACTTTATGTGACCCTCAACACTTCACAGACCTTTCGACACCATCTTCACTTTCATTACCACACATTCATATTAAAACTGAACACAATGTGTATTGAAATGACTTCAAGGAACTTTCAAACACATAAATCAATTGTAACAATGGTTCAAACTACTGTGACTTATCTTAACCATGCAGAATTACTGGTATAGTCCTTTAAGACAGACCTTTTTTCTTTTCATGGCACAGCAGTAAAATTACATGATGTGAAGAGTAATGTCAAGGTATTAACTGGAGTAATTTTCTTTCAGATTTCTTCCAGCATAAACAGGCACAAAGCATCAGATATATGGAGCACCGCCTTTGTTGCGTCTGAGTGTCGTGCCTGTTGTGGTTTTCATATTTAATAAAAGATTATCCCCCTGTTTGTGGAAGGAGATTCTCAATAAATAATTGATGCCTTTTCATTGAGATTGTAAAAACGGGGGAGTTTCCTGTGTTGAACGAAAACAAACTGAACATATGTTTCTTGTGTTAAATTCATATTAGACTGTCCCTCCTATAGCTGGGTGGGCTCACAGCTGCATCAGTCCCAGCAGACCTCTCTCTCAACCAGGTCTTGCTCCAGTTGCAGAAATGGACACGCAAACTGAGAAACTCCAGCTCTAACTAGGTGTGATCATTCCTTAGGAAGAAACCAAACCGTGTTAAAGGACAGCAGCCCTGCAGCCTTGATCTTCAAGGTGTCAGTCTTTTACTTTAACACTGTAACAACAACCTTCTGAAGACCCTGTATTTCTAAGGTTTTAGACTGTATTCTTTTCTGTTCATGTCACAATATCGATATATTGCCCAGCTCTAACCTGCTACATTTACTACAGGGTGTTTTTTTAACACAATACAAACAACACAATAACAGAAAAGTCGAATCTGTCCTTAGAACATAAAACACAACGCACATGTTCTCTTCCGTCATGTTTAACCATCTAATGTTAATGCTGAGGTCCGCCATTTTGTCTGCCACCAGGTACTGTTTTGTTACAGTTGATTAGAACGTCGAGAATTTAGTTTTACAGTTCCGATTATTGATTTGTTTTGCATCAAGACATAACTTTTCACTGTATCTAAGAATATAACTTTTTTCCCCATCCCTAAAATGGAACTTTGGAAAAGCGGTATTCAGTTGGTTGCAATCTGTAACTTTACCACTAGATGCCACTATATCCGACACACTGGTCCTTTAACTGACTGGTCTGGCGAACACAATGCATTCCCTGATGAAAGTGCTCTGTGCTGCAGCTAAAGTTGAACCAGGACAAACTGTTTTTGACAGACTACATACGTTTTCTTGCTGGATCCCTCTGCAACGGCACCCCACTGTGCCAACGTAGTGGTCTTGCTGAAATAAAAGAGCAACCTGGATTTTTTAACACGCCGCTATTGTCGTTCTGAGCGCAGCCTCAGGCAGCGAGTTCATTCCAGAAGAATCTCATTCACCACCAGAAAGGCCCTGAGAGAGGAACATTTCTGCTGGAGTTACATGGGAAATGAAAGGTCAGGCTAAGCAGTCGGAGCAGAGGTCTCAATGGATGAAAAGGGGGCAAAACTCCCTATAAGAGCAACCAATCTTTCATTACAGTATTAAAGATGTGACATTTTGGTCAGAGCGACCTTCATCAGATACTTTAGACTCTATCTTGTAAGCTTATCTACTTTCACCCTTGATTGCTCCTCAACACTGAGAAAAAGAATACCAGATTGAAGCTGCAACTTTTCTCATAGACAGGTATCGTCTCCCCCTCAGACGGTCCAGTTCTCGCTCCAGCCCTTGTCACTCATCTTGACGGGCTGTCTGTCTTTTTTTATGTGATCTTGCCTGAGGCTGAGGTGTGCAGCACGTCTAAAGCCGTCAGCACCGGTGTTCAGCGTGCATTTAAATGTGCTGTTTAATCTTTTTTCCCGCTTGCCTCAGTTGTCATGGTGACTTCCTGCAATGCGCTTGCTCCTAGCCTCACCTTTATAGCCACGACAAGCTAGCCACTGACCACGCCCATACAGTAGTGCACCCAAAAATGTCCTTAACTTTGCTACAATGCTAGTTTGAGTCTGAAAAGGGGATTTCATCTTTAACGTGTTGGTGTTTCCTGTGTTTTTACTTTTTCCTGAAGGACGTGCACCTTTTTGCTCTGCTATCTCTTCCCACTGATGCCCCAGTTCATCAGAGTCGCTAGGCATTGTAGGCAGGGGAAAACAGCTGAGATGTTGACGTCCAACTTGCTATTCTCCTGCTGTGAGCCGGTCAGGGCTTTGGTAATGAGAGCCTGGGGAGTGTGTGTGTGTGTGTGTGTGTGTAATCTTCCTCGAGGACTATTGCTGAGTGCTTGTGTGTGTTTCTGTATGTGCAGTTGGAAGGGAACCAGCTGTGTCCATGTGGTTAAGGATTTGTTTGCGTGCGTACCTACATGTACGTGTGTGTGTGTGTGTGTACAGGTGTACACACAGAGGCATATTGTGGAGCAAGCGGTAAGCCGATGATAAGCGTGAACATACAACCCCCCTCCCGCCCAACCCTGTTCTCCATCCTCTCCTTCCCCGCCTCACCTTCCTCCATCTCTCTTCCTCCTTCCTTCTCCCGTCTCTCCCTCCCTCCCCCTTCCTCCTCTCTAATCGCCGGGCTAATTGACTCAGCCAGATTTGGCAGCAGGCTTATTGGTGTCATTTCACACAACAAGGAATGACCTATGCAGACGGTGCAGCGGTGACAGTTAAGATGGAGCACACCCTGTATTGTTATGTTCACCAAATCCAATCACACACACACACAGCATTTCCCTCAGCTGATGAAATGACCTAGTAACTGCACTTTCATGCCAGTGTTTGACCAAAAATGGAGTTAGATTTTTTTAAACTGAACCTGTGGAATTGGATATCTTCAATTTCAGACTAGATTTCCTGTCAAGTATTGCAAGTTAGGAGGCTGATTTCTGTGCAGTTTACCCGCCTGAGCCAACACAGGGTGAGAACCAGAAGGAAAGATATTGTTTTACACACAGGTCTGCTTGTTTTTTTCAAGCCTAAAGCTGCCCTTTTCTGTATTATGGCCGTCTTTCTTTCACTGAGAGCATCCTCGGGCTGGCCTGAACTTCCCTTCATAGCTGTGAAATTTAATGACACTGCATTGGTGTCAGGTAAACAAGGTGTGTGTGATTGTAGGTGTCTGTCTGTCTGTCTGTCTGTCAGGGGGGATGCATTTGTATGTGGCTTTCCCTGATGATTAATCCTTCAGCGTCACCCAAATTCTGCCTGATGGGTGCGAGTGTGTGTGTGCGTGTGTCTGTATGCAGAGTAGACCGCCCTTACCGCTGTGCGCGCTGAACCAGCGGGGTGCGATGTGCAGGGGCAAGGTGTCAGCCAGCGACCCCCGGGACCCCAGATAGAGCACCCCGTCCGTGTGGTGCCCTCCGCCCCCAGTGTCCTGGTAGCCGGTACCGTGAGGGGCGGCGGGAGTGCCCCCTGACCC